CCCCCCCCCCCGGGGGGGGGGGGGGGGGGGGTTAAGGTAGTTAGGGGTGAAACAGAGAAAGAACACATTATTGGTATTTGGCCACCATAGCAGGTCCTTTTTAAGAGAACAAGACACGACTCTTTGATGTCCCATATTATCATCTTTTGAGTGCCTTTAACGAATAGTTATTACGATCATTCTAACAAGTTCTGCTGATGCCTGATAGTCACTGCCAATTTCATCAGTTTTGTCTAGGAGGGATGACAGCCAAGTCATACCAAGCCACCCATTTTGCAACATGTATGGCTGAATAAAGTGGGTTAGAATTTAAAGTCGCAATTAAACATATAATTCCAAAACTAGGCTTGAACCCAATTTACCTATGCCATCACCCATTGTTTAATAGGGAGCAAACCGAGTATTGGTGTTTTTTTAGGTTTTTCCCAAAATTTGGTGATACATTTGAGCAATGGTAGCTGGGATGGTAACACCAAAGTCAATGACATGCAGAAATCTAAAAGAACATGTGATCTGAAATAAATGATGTAAGTGTGATTATACACTTACCCAATAACCCAACAGCGTCTCCTGCCCCTTCATTGATGATCACAACCTTTTTAATATTTTCATCAAAGCTACAAGCATCCATTTGCACATGTTTTGGTTTCCAAGATGTGTTTATCGTAGAGGAATCCCCAAATAAATCACTGAGCCGTATAACAGAACCACGGTTGCCTGCAACCAAATCGGCATGCCTTGCAAGCATTTCCTCCCTCCGGGCATACAGAGACCTTGGAATATAAGTTACATTCCCGTATAATGTGGAAATTAGGTTGTAGCCAGTTAGAATTTCAGAGTGTTCTCCTCGTAGAAGCAAATGCGACTTTAGTCCCCTCTCTGCACATGAAACAGCTGCTAATGCAAGGTTGCAGAATAGTTAGAGCCGCCCCGTGCAGATTACACTAACAGAAACCTAATTAAATTGGAAAACATATTTCAGGGAATTGTTCCAGTTTAATAGGAATATTGAATGACATACCAACAGCTGCAGCATGTGCACTTTGGCAACCTCCACATGTAACCTAAAAAAATTGCCCCAGGGGGCTATTATTTTGTCTCGGAAGTCCATCAAAATGCTAAATTCAATTCTTGGGGCAGCCCGATGTGTACATACTACGGACAAGAAAAAACAGAGACAAGCATGGACTGAGACCCGCCATAAATATGGAACTTCTATGCCACCAACATGTTTGAAAGGTCATATTTATCTTACTGTATCAATTTACAGGTCTATTTGGCATATACTAACACTGAGTAGCCAAATCAGAGTAGACCTTGTGAAAAAATAAAACAAAATCTAGAATTTCCAATAGGCAGTTTTATCCTTGTGCACCCACCCAATGACCACAAGTCACATGCATCAATTTTGAGGTACATGTTCATGAATTGCATTATAGCTTGTGAAGTGAGGAAACACTTGCCAACTTTCAAAATATGACAAGAGTAAATGGTAATTCATGGAATTCTGTATCTCATTTGACAGACAGGTCCATCAGAATTGAGACACCATAACTTCAAAAGGAATATTATCTCACCACATCTGTCACTGCATGATCTTCAACAAGAGGAAACAGGGCATCCAATTTCCTCGCTTTATTACCATTAACCAGTGGATGCAGCAAATCATCTCTCACAACATAAAAGGATGGATGTTGCTTGTTATTTTCCATCGTGCGACCACCCAAAAGTGGATGAGGATTGTTTAAGAACAAAATGTCTCCAAATGGTGCAGCTTTGTGTTTTATCTGCCTGTCAGAGATCATTATTTGGTGAATTTTGCTATCTGGGCTGGTCATTGTCCATCTTCTGTCAAGTAACTTCAGCATGAACTCTTCACCACAGAATACGAATTCAGAAGCAACCTGAAAATGATGGATAAAAACATGGATCAACTTTCACAATAATGCTTTTTGGGGTACTTGCTATGCATAAGGATCATATACGGATCAACAAACCATAAAAGACACTTCAATGAATTATAAAAAGTCTCTCTTGAGAACTCATATCGCGATCTATAGTAAATACCAAAGTAGTGATTATTACCAAAGAAATAAAACTATGAACCACAACATTCTATTTTACAAGGACAATTAGAACTCACAGCCCTATCTGCTAGTTATCCACACAATCATCAGGATAGAGGATGAGAACTATTGTGACTAGTTCACTTCGAAGTGCTGGTAATTGGGCTGCAACAATAGCTGAGTTTGACAGTACCCTCAAAAGAGCGTGATTATAATCTTAACCCAATAAATGGTTCCTCACCGCCACGATGGTGAATGTATTTCAGGGACAATTAAAGTGAAAAGGCGGGATGCATTCCGACCACAAAGTGCTATTGATCTAGGACTATACAATTTAGATGCACAAGGCATCTGAATGTTACAAAGTTATGAAGCATATAGTTCTGCCTCGACATAATTAGCCTTCAGTCTAAAACAGCTCAATGCAAAGGCAATCTGTTTACACAGAGATGTTGGTAACATGACATGTCATTGAAACTCATTAGCTTGTTTGTCAATGGTTTCACTACTATTCCACTAAAATATCATTGGCGTACACAAATTATAGTCACTGCAACCCATTCAGACATTCACACTGTCTGAGGAAACAATAGTCAATTAACCACAAACCCATTACCAAATTCAACCCAAAATTATCTTGGACAGAGTATATATACACAATATTTATATATTTGCACAAAGAGAGAGAGAGAGAGACCTGAACACCATTTGGAAATTGCCCAGCATGGAACTCTTTCCCCATCATTGAAATCGAAGAATGTCTTGAGAAATGTCGGAGTCTCATCTTGTTGACACTTAATACCTCTCCGCAGGCATGACAGCGAGGTTCCAGTGCCATGGCAATCCCATCCCGTAGAAAGAGGATGATGATTTACGACACAGATAAACAAAAACACAGATTATAATCCCCCCAGTACTCGAGGTTACACCTTACACCTATTATGGTTGTGCTCAAAAGACAGATGTGTCCCTTGGGAACCTTCGGATAGAAGTGCCCCTTGCGATCTATTGGAAGGACTAAACNATGTTTGATTCCCTAGCGGGGAATCCATTTCCTCTTTCATGGCTAACTCCCACTTGCTCGAATTCTCATCTTGCAAAGTTTCTTCATAACTCTGCGGTTCTCCACCATCTGTCAACAGAATGTAACTCAATATAAGTGAGAATCGTTGTGGGGGTCGGATAGTCCTGGAAGACTTTCGAGTCGCTGCTACAANAAACTCATTAAATTGGTTTTTTTAAATAAATTTGAAACATTTTTTCGCAATAGTGTAGAAAAATGATAAAGAGTGAAAAATGATTGTGGCACATCGCGTTGAACTTATATATTTTGAAAACTTAAGCTATTAGAGGGGATTTGAATTAAATATTTTGTAACTCAAGAATTTATACTTGAAGAGTGCAAGACTACCAAGTTGGTTGTGTGGGGCTATTTTTTTGATTCTATAAATAAACTTACTCCATGGTTTTGATCGAGTCCCAGGGCCGAATGCTGAGATATTGTCTATCAGGGACCGGTTATAGTCGGGGACAGGTGACGAGGGCTGGGCCATACGTGCGAATGATAGTTTTCGGTTCAGGGGAAAGGTTGTGATTCTCCAGTCTGTGGATCTAAGAGAGGAGATCTTTAGGGAGTTTCATTGTTTCTATTTTGCTGTGCATCTAGGTGGCACAAAGATATACCATGATCTTTGTCGCTAGTACTATTGGAGTGGGATGAAGAAACACGTTGGAGATTTTGTTAGTCGATGTCTCACATACCAGTAGGTCAAGACTGAACACCAGAGACCAGCAGGGTTGCTCCAACCTTTGGAGGTAGCTGAGTGGAAGTGGGAGCACGTCACGATGGATTTTGCGACCCATTTGCCACGAACATCGCGGGGCATGACGTAGTGTGGGTGATAGTGGACCGGCTTATGAAGTTGGTATACTTTTTGACAGTACAGATGACCTTCACATTAGAGGATTTTTATAGACTGTATATACGGGAGATAGTCTAATTACATGGGGTGCCCGTATCTATAGAATCAGATCGGGATCCTAGGTTCACCGCCCATTTTTGGGAGAATTTTTAGCGGGCCATGGGGACGTAGTTGATGATGAGTATCGTTTTTCATCCCCAGACGGACGGACGGTCAGTCAAAGAGGACCATCTAAACTTTAAAGGATATATTACAAGCATGCATCCTTGATTTCAAGGGTGGCTAGGAGGAGCACTTACCATTAGTAGAGTTCACCTAGAACAACAGTTATCAGACGAGTATACAGATGACACCCTATGATGCACTTTATGGGAGGTCGTGCCGTTCTCCAATTTGTTGGATGGAGGTTGGAGATAGACCCTCTATGGGTTCGAATTTGATTAGAGACACTTTGGAGAAGGTGTACTTGATATGAAAACGTCTTCTCAAGGCTCAAAGCCTGCAGAAGAGTTACGCTGACAGACGACGGCGATCTCTGGAGTTCGAGGTCGAATATCATATCTTCTTGAAGGTGATGCCTAAGAGGGGAGTGGTTAGGTTCAAAAAATGAAAAAAGTTGTTGCTGAGGTGTATTGGGCCCTTCGAGGTACTTGAGAGGGTTGGTACAGTCATTTATCGGTTGACATTACCACCAAATCTATCTGGTGTTCACGCAGTGTTCCATGTTTCTATATTCCGAAAGTATACTCTAGATCCTACACACGTGGTGGATTGAGGTGAGCTAGTGGTTGATGCGGATGAGACCTTCGAGAAGAGATCGGTGCGTATCATAGACAGCCAAGAACAGGTTTTGCGTGGCAAGACTGTGAGGCTGGTAAAGGTGTTGTGGCAGCACCGTGGGGTGAAGGAGGTGACATGAGAGTATGAGGACACTATTCGAGCTACTTATCCGTTTTTATTCAAGGATGGAGGTACATCTCTTATAGTTATAGAGTATTAAATGACTTTTTGCATGTGCATGTTGTTATATGTGCATGTGGGTATAATTTCGGGGACAAAATTTCCTTAAGGGGGAGAGAATGTAAAACTAAAAAAAAATTAGTATTATTATTATTATTAAAAATCTTAATTAAAGGGGTCAAATAATAATTAATTGTTAAAGTATGGGTCAAAAACATAAATTTTTAAAGAATAAATTTAGTATATATATATATATATATATATATATATATAAGTGGAAGACTTTGTCTTCCACTTTGATTTTTCTTCTCTAGGCGGCAAGACAGAGAGATAAAAAGAGAGAAACAAAGAAAAAAAAAGAAAGTAGACCTCCTTCATTCCTTCTCAGATCTACGAAGGTTTGATCGTTTAATTGCTTCAGGCCAAAAATTAAAGTTGCTCTACTCAGCGAGAACTATACAATCACACCACATATCGTATTTTTCTCTGAAAGAATATTAAAGACGATAATCTAGTCCTAAGGTTTGAGAAGTTAAATTTGGGCTTTCTCGGAGTTCTAATACGTGGGCTCACGCTACGAGAGGTAGGGTTTCCCCTATTTAGATTTAATTTCAACCTAAAATATGACATATAAAATAAGTAGGCTATGAGTGTATATCGCATGTTAGGTTTTGACTAGTGTAACTAGTGAGTCAAATATAAGATTTATCATTAACTTTGTGATTAGTAAAATTCTATTATAATTAACTTGGTGTAAGTTAATATTAGTGGTTTAAAACATGTTAATTGTATACTAGCATTATTTTATGTTTTAATGACATATCAAGTTTAATAAAATTATTAGCTTGTTATGTGATTATGAAATGATATGTATGTTAAATGATTATTTAGCAGATGATTATTGTGGTGGACTTGTGCTTATATTTATATAATTAATAAACATGTTGCCATGTTGGAAGTAATAAATATGCTAGTTGTGTAAATTGAATATGCCCTCTAGGTATTTGTTTAAATGCCTAAGTGAATACAAGTATGTTAGTTGAGTTGATTATCGTACATAACATGCTTGAAATTGTATTGAAAATGTCATTATATTGCATTCATTATGTAATGAACATTGTAAATGGTACCAAAGACAATTACACATTGTATTGCATTATGCATGAGTTGCACTACATTCATGGGCATTGACATAGGTGGCAGTGTGTGCATAGTATAAAATTAATCACCACATAGGTGATTGATCGTGGGCTCAAGAAAGTCGCACCAAGGTCCGATTGAGTCGCACGGAAAATTAATTGGATAAATGTGTCGGGGATAGTAAAAAGGGCTAGATTTTTTCTCGGGTGCAAGACCCGCTTACTTAGTTTATACACTTCCTGGCGGTGCAATTCCAAAAAAGTGTAATGGCAAAAACGGAGCCGCAGATGGGATGTCCTGAAGATATGTTGATGGTTGGTGTCCCATTGGTGTAATACCATAAATCATCTCTCCACAAAGACACAAGAAAATCAATTAATTAGTCATTGAGTGTATATAACACCAATGACGAGGGCTTGGGATTCACAATAATTTCAAAATATTTAATATCCAATTATATCAATCGGGTAATTATTATGTATTATCACGGTATTCTGTAGGTCGATGGATGATCAATCGGGTAATTACAAACACCTGAATTTTGGGGTGTCACAAAGTCCTTCTAGTTGAGTCACCTATGTTGACTAGAAAATATCCAACCAAAATATCCAATTATATCAATGCAATGCATATATATATATATATATATGCACCATTATAAAAAAATATTTAATACGTAATAATTTCACAAAAAATGCATCTATGATATATGTCATGAATAATTTAATAATTTAACCAACAGATTAAAGTTTTATATATTCTGGATTTGACCACTAATCGTAGCTTAATTAATATCAAAAGATTTTAATCACATAATTGTCGGTATTAATAAATTGTTTTATTGTGTTTGACAATATCCTGTTAGTGGAGGAAAACTCTTGATGTGAAGATAAGAATTGTATAGTGTGTTTGGGTCACCCAAAATATTTAGGATACTCACTAACTGATCATATTTTCATTTAAACAATATATTAGGTATATAACGTTTTGTTATCTGAATTTTACAATATTTAAACAAATAAGGATCTTCTAAAAAAAAATTACGTCTCTCACTCAGAAACTTGTTTCTCTCACACCCCTTCAATTTGAACTATGCATTGTCCTCAATGCAACAAAAAGGATATGGAATGCAATGAAGGACTTAAAAAGATAAGTGGGCCCACTAGAAACTACTTAGGGCCCAAATTTCCCTAAATTTCTCAAATTTGAACTTTTAGCCTTATAATTCATACAACACCAATTACATTTATTTTGTTTACAAAAGAATAATGTCCAAGAGTGTCCCATTACATGCCTTTTGTGGAAATGGGTGTGTGAATGAAATATGTGTGTGTGTGTGTGTACAAAAGTGCTCCCTAAGGGCAGAGAGACTTTTGGATGAAATTTTTTTTTTTGTCCTAATTAAGATTATGGGTAACAATCGAGTTGTGTCATTTTAAGTTCGTGTTGAGTCATTACGAATTTGTGTCAAACATTAGTCAAACCTAACTTAACTCATTTAATTTATTGTGTCGTGTCGAGTTGACCTGTTTATTTTCGATTCGTATTCGTGTTTGTATTCGTGTTGACCCATAAAAATTTTGAATAAAAAATTTAAGGCTAATATTCTATTTTGGTAGAACATGTCAGGGTAGGTGTGGGAGAAGCATAGATGGACCCCCCAAGTTGATAGAATTTGAGTTGTAGGTGTCTGGCATCTCTGGGCCAAACCTTTCGGAAAGTCGAAGCAAAACCTTTCAGAAGGTATTGGCAAGGGGCAGAGGTATGAGTAGCTAAGCTTTAAGTTGGCTAATTCAAGGGAGAATTCCTCTTAGGTATGCTAAATAAACTCTTTTTCATTCATCCTCGTAATGTACGACGGTTTGATTTGACTAGATTGAATGTAGACGTAGTTGTGAGTTCTTGATACACCGTAGACTTGTCATGGGTTCTAAGAGTTGCCAAATGTGAGACTTGGCCTCGCCAAATATTGTTGAAACCAAACTATCTTCATCCCAAGGAGGGAAATACGTGTTAAAAGAAGATGATGACCTAAGGGCCAAAATGACTACTTTGTCTCAAAAGCTCGATGCTTTAAAGATGATGTTATTAATGATTTAAATCTTTGTGTTGGACGTTAGTTTCACACACTATGCACTTGAATTTGTCAAGGTTAAATAAAACTTAATTATGTGTGTGAAATTGAACCAAGTTAGGATTGTAGCAATTCCTTGCAGCTATCCTAACATTGATAAAATTATTCATGGGGTTTTTTTGAAAAGTTTTGAATTTGCTTTTTAAGAGCGGTAGTTTTAGACACCAAAAAAAAAGCGGACTATTTCTTCCCCTTTTTAGAAAGAGTTTGATACTATAGTTGTTAGAAAGAGTCTGATCCTATAGTTGTATTCAGGAATTAGATGAGTTGGTTATTATTGACCGCTCTTTATGAATCACAACTTGTGTTTCATGCTACATGAATAGAAAAAAAGAGTGGTTCAAATAATATCTAAATAATAAAGTAAAACAAGTTTTGAATCCTAAGAAAAAAAGCAACTGAGATTGTTTCATGATAAAACAAGGCCATATTTGGCGAACGACGCTATCCCAATCTATCTCAAGTTATTAACGTCTTACATTATTTAAAAATTATTTCAAACAATCCCAATCTATTTCAAGTTACTAATATCACTTAAAATATGGTTGAAATACAACAACTATTCATATCTTCAACAATCGAAACCATGGAATGGTACATATGAACAACTTTGGTGGTGGTTTGGACCGTGGTGATTTTAAATATTTAGTATAGTGGCCAAGAATACTATAATTGTAAGTACTAATAGACTGTTTTATTGTGTTTGGATGTATTCTTTTGGTAGAGAAAAACTCTCGATGTGAGTATAAGAATTGTATAGTGTGTTTGGGTCACCCAAATCATCCAATCATCTAGTGACTGTGGCTAGTGTACAAAGTTAGATGAGTTGGTTATTAGGGACCACTCATTATGAATCACAACTAGTGTTTCATGCTACATGAATAGAAAAAAAAGAGTGATTCAAATAACATCTATAAAATAAAATAGAATGAATTTTGAATTCTAAGCCAAACTTACATTTAAATTACGAGTAATGCTATTGATAACTTAAAATTTTGACCTAATGATGTGACTTTTTTAAAATTATTAAATTAACACTAAGTTCTAATGTTTGATGTAGTTTAGAATCAATCCAAAGGTTATAATGAATTAGGTCCGTAAATTAAGTCCAAATAACATTAGTTTTAAATTATTGATTGAATTCAATGTTTTATGACATAAAACATGTATAATATATTGATCGAATTCAATGTTTTTTGACATAAAACATCAAGGCTTCTAAATTTTGTTAGACTAATTATCTTCATAACTCAAATAAAAGAAAGGTGTGATATCCCTTTCAACCCAATCTCAGGGCTTCTAAATTTTGATGGGGGCAGTCGGGGCAATTGCCCCACTGAGATTTTGAAAATTTTGGGGCTACATTAAAAATTCAAAAAAATTAAAAATTTTCAATATTTGTCCCCACTAATTTTTTTAAAGTTCGTGAAACTTAATCTCACTATTCTTTATTTACTCTCTAGTTTTTTCTCTTCCTTCTATAATGACACATTAAGTTACCAAACTCATTGTCCTCTAAATTCGATTATCTAGATATGGATTGATATGTTTAATTAATTAATTCAAGTGTGAATATACTATTATATTTAAGGAATTTAGATTTAGATATACAAAAATTTGATAGAATTACACATGCACACACGTGTATATATAAGATTTATTTTTCGATCAAGTTTTTAATATTTAATGGGAATGAATATGGATATGAATTGTAAAGATGAAATCTGGTGGATAATTAGATCATATTCAAAATGGAGTTTTCAAATCGAACTTGGATTTGAATCATTACAAAATTTAATGGTTGACATGTCTATTTATAGTTGTTTAGATAATAATTTGTCAAAATAATATTTTCTATGAAAATTATTCTAATACTCAAATTTTTAATATTTAATGGATATGAATTGTAAAGACGAAATCTGATGGATAATCAAATCATATTCAAAATGGAGTTTTCAAATCAAACTTGGATTTGAATCATTCAAAATTTGATGGGTGACATGTCTATTTATAATTGTTTACAAAATAATTTGTCAAAATAGCATTTTCTATGAAAATTATTCTAATACTAGTATTTTCTATAAAATAACTTTCATATAACTCTTCTTAATTATGTTCTATCTTTTTACGTGTAATTTATGTGTGACAAACTTTTAAAGCAGCAAAGCAAAAAATTACCATGAAAAATTACTTTATAAATAGTGTAAATAACAAAACACTCGTATTTGCAAGATACAATAAATTTTGATGATTGTTCTTCAATTGTCGCTTTGAACTTGATGATTGCCCCCAATAGATTTTGGCTCTGCCCCTGTTTTGGATGAGTATTTAGCGATGGTTCAAAATATTAGTCGATATTTATATGACGTGGGTCATATACATTGCACTTTTTGATCTAATATTATTCCACACATTCTGTAGCTTACGAGCCTTGAGCGACTTGAGCGAGAAGTCTTTTAGTTAGCCTTATTGGTTCTATTCATTATTATTGAATTGGCTGTTAGCGTTCTGCAACACCGCCATAATTAAAATTGATATTATAACTTGACACGTTTCGTTGGCTTCCGAGTCATAGCTCATACCACAACCAAAATCATTGTTATTTTCTCGAATTCAGTCCTTCATGAAGTTAGGTGTGACAATGTTAGTAAACTATTAAATGAAGCCAAAGCTAGTATGAAAACCAAATCTTTCTTGTACCCATAAACTTATTGGTATTTCCGTTTTAGTCTTTGCATAAAATTGCATGTTTAACCCCAAATTTACAAATAATTTCGTTTACATAATTTTATTTATTTTAATGTTTGGTATAGCTAAACATTTCAAGACCTAAATTGTTGCCTTTAATGTCTACATTGGACACATATCATGGACCAAATTTGCATTGAGTGCAGCTGTAACACCCCAAACTCGTATTGTATAATTTTGTTTGCTTTAGTCTACGTCCGCATAGTTTGAAAATGCGTTGGACAATGAAAATCTACAGATGACACTTATGGAGCACTCCACACACACTTCACTAGGCTATGTAGGAGTTGGGTGACCACTGTCCACCCCTCTTAGACACAAATGCCTCGTTTTGGACCATATCCCGACCTAGGTGATGTGGGATTTCGAAGGATTACTCCCCCATGCTAGTCGCCACCACCCTGCTAGACCAGGGTGTGCACAAGGCTAGGTGACACCGAGTCCTATCAAAAAAATTATTTCTAGTTAATATTGAATAGCTTGGAATGCTGCTAACTCACCAGTTTACTTGCAACTGTTGTATAAACCATTTCTTTTGCTGCTATGTACATGTTTTGTCTACATAATACGAGGTCATTGACTTGAACTCCATATTGGAAGTGGAATATGAACAGTTGAATTGGGAAGTGAGTACAATTTGGTGAGAGAGCAAACAGATCATTTGCCTATGCTCAAGTGGCATGAAGAAAGACTTGAATTCCATGTTGAGGGCGGACCATGAAAAGCTGAATCGGGGAGTGAATGTAAGTTGGTGAGAGATTAAACGCATAGCGCTGCAGAATCATAGAAAGTACAATCTTTGCTTCAATAACTGCAAAATTCAATCCCACACAAGTCCGAGGTCCAAAACCAAATGGCAAAAATGCTGCTGCAGTGTTGTTGGAAGCTTTGGCAACCCCTCCTGTGAATCTTTCTGGTTTGAAAAGGTGAACATCTTCTCCCCATATTCGAGGGTCATGGTGTAGTGCTAGGGGTGAAATATACAGCTGCATATTAGGTGGAAGAATAAGGTTCCCTAATCGAACTTTCTTCTCAACCTTTCTTTTGATGGCAGGCACTGGAGGGTATAGTCGTAAGGATTCTTCAATGATCATGTTCATCTATGTGAAAAAAACACAAGTAACAAAACAAATCAATGTTTCTAAATAAATTGAAGGTAGTATGCAAAGCAAAATTGGTAATAGTTGCTTACAATTTTCATTCTTCCAATGCCATCTGAATTGGGAGTTTTTCGGCCAAACAAATCAACCACCTCCTTCCTTGCTTTCTCTTGCCAGTCCTTGTGTATAGCTAGAAGAAGAATAGTCCATCCGAGCAAGGATGTAGTTGTTTCATGTCCAGCAAAATAGATTGTTTTACACTCGTCGACAATATCTTCCACCGAGATCCACTTGTTCTTATTGGTTTCATGATTGGCCTCTAGAAGTTTTCCAAGAAAACCACTTTCATAGCTTTCTATTTCTCCTTTCTTCACAGGCTCTTTTTGCTTTATGATCTCTAAAATGCAATCGCGTATCCCTTCTTCAAGTTTCTCAGACTCCATATCATCATCACTTTTCATAAATCGGCTGCAAATAGAGAGGATTGATTGATCAAAATAAGGAGGAAAGACAGTCCACTTTGCTTCCATAGAGGAAATGTTCAAAGCCCTAAATGATTGATTGATTAATTTCCATTGAATGCATATGCTTAACCATTTAGGTCAAAAGATGTTTTGTAGTAGCAATTTAAATGTTATGGCAATAGGAAAAATTTCAGAGTGGCTCTGGCTCCCCTCTAAATAATTGCAAGTAGTAGTTTTTTTCCTTTTATGGTAACTGGAAATTGTCCCAAGCACCCATTCTTTGGACATATGGTTACAACGCAAGTCTCGGATGTATGCAATTACTAGCAAATCATGCATCAGTTAAACCAGAGTTTTATGCAGCCAAGAGACTCGAACTCAGAACCTGCAGCTTTATGTTCAATCATCCTTATTGGACTAGTAAACAAACCTGTGCAGTTTTCCAAGTAGTAGTTAACTTACTTGATGCCAGGAAACCTTATTTTTCGTGCATTTCTGGAAACAATTAAAGTCAGCTTCATCAACAACTCAAAAATTTTCTTCCCTTCTGAGTAACTGCTCCCGAAAGCTGTTTTGGAAATGACTTCTGATGTTAGTAACCTGAACTCTTCAAACACTTCAATCTCTTTCCCATCATATTCTTTCCACCTTTCAAGCATCTTCTCAACACTTGTGATCATTGCTGGAGTCATGCTCTGGACACACGATATCCCACCGTATTATGTAGGAACCCCATACCATAATCACTAGAATTTTTTTTACCAGCAAAACAGCAACAGAAGTAAAGTTACCTTCAAGCTTTCTGCATGAAAAACATAGTTGGCCAGTTTGCGCATCTTCGCCCACTTTTCACCTTTGGATGATGAAAGCCCGTCTCCTAAAAGCTTCTTTGCATAGCCTTCCAGGTCTATTTTTGGATAACAATCATCTTTATTATTTAGTATTTCTTTTATAAGCTCTGCGTCGGTGACAACCAATTCAGCTTGAGGACCATACCAATTAAGAAAATTCATCCCTGCAGGCACAAGAAACCAAAGAAAATAAAGGTTCAATTGAGGTAAGTACGAATATACAAGCCCGTCTCCTATAAGCTCTATCTATCGTAGTTTCTAACTTATTTTCTGATCTAAGAGTATTTTTTCTTTCATGAAAGTGTGATTGGAACCTTCCCTTTTTACAAGCGTGGGCTCACACTGCGCTCCATGAATACAATGATACAAGGGAAAGTTACTTATAAATCACGGCATAAAATGAAATAAATCTACAAAACAAAACTCGATTTAAAGTGGCCACAAGGAGATTATATGCAAGAGTGTGTTACCATATAAGTTGACCCATGAGTGCACATCAGGCAGAATTCGGGGGAATAGGTTGTGTGACAAATGATCCATGGGTCTGCCCATAGATTGTCTTCGCATGTTGGTGATCTCCTTGGTGTTTCCATGGAGAAATTTGTAAGAAGGGCCTTTGATTCCCTGGGACCTCATCATGTTCTGTATGCAAACTGGAGTCCACCATACTTTGTGAAGGAACCTTACCAGATTCACCAGGAGGTATAGGAACAAAGAGCTTGAAAGGAAGACTATTAAATTTGCAGTCAAACCCATTATCTAAAAAGCTATGAATTCAAGTGCTACTGAACTCAAAAACCTCGATGGTTTCATAAAATACTTAGAACTCACTGGAACATGCTTCTGAATCTTTTTCTAGAAAGTAGAAGACAGATTTGGATTCGATACTATCGTTGGTTTCATTTAATAGTTTCAAAATTCTCACTTCTGATACCATACATGATTAATAATATAAGATAACATATAAGAAAAATGGCAATAATTGTACTTATAGGAGCTGCTGTATTTGGCCTCATGCAAACCTTTCAGTCTACTTCATGAATGCAGTGGTCCATCAAATTTAGAAGTCCTGATGTTGGGTTGAAAGGGATATTAAAGTTTTCATCTGACATATGAAGACAGGTCCATCAAAATTTAGAGCACCAACATTTGGTTGAAAGTGATATCTGTACGTGTGCCATGTCACGAATATCTTTTGAGATCAATTCTATCTTTAATTTAAATGTTAAGTCGGTATTGCTAATGTGTACAAGATAAATTTTAGGCCACGAATCTTGTCATTAAGATCGAAAACAGGTATCTGGATATGGATCTTTCAAGTTTCAAGTTAAGTATTGATGGTAGATGAAATGAGGTTGGTGTCTGCTTAAAAATCTGATATAATTTTTGGTAGGATATGCCCCATCATGCTCTCAGGATGACATCCATTTTATCACAATTATATTAACATTCATTGTACTAACCAGTTATCCTGCAGGAAATGCTGATCTGATCAGATATATCACAGGTAAACGTAAAACTAGATCAGGCAAGGATTAAATGTGAATTTCCTTCCCCTTGCCGAAGAGAAACATTCAATTATTATAGGACCAACACAACTTGCTATCCCTCTTTATTTCACTCTTGACTTTATCTGAAAATGAAGTAATCCTGGCCTGGAAGTTTCATTCTTTTTCTGTTACTCATGGGAACTATGATCGAACCAAGACTAGACTCATGATTCTCTTATCCATCTTTCTTTCACTCTTGATTTTTTCCTGAGAATGAGATGATACAACCCCTGAGGTTTCATCAATTTTCTGCTACTCGGGGGCACTAAGATTGTAACACGACAAGAGAAATATTATACCAATAGGCCTTAGCAACAACGCTAACTGTGCCACTGCACTGGCACTGCATGTCTATCTTTAATTCTTATGCTTGTATACAGTTATGCCGTCTTAAACTTTTTATTCTTTTCCAATATTTCGGTAAAATGAGAAGTTAATCTTCTCAGTGATACAGATTTATCAGATCAATGGTACAGCTATTTAGCATGTTGGGAAGAATTTTAATTGCAAGTATTCTGACAACCTCTAACATTTTTCCTCTTCTTCCTACTGATCTGAAAATCCTTTAGGAACCAATGTTGTCACAACTATCAAGTCATTGATTGCAGTGCTAATGTCTGAGTTTTTGTGGGACAGACCCATTCGTTTTCTGCTTCATTTATTTATAGAATCAAGAAACACCAGGACAAAACAGCCCTATGTAACCAACTTGGTGGTCCTCCAATTAGATGTCAATATCGGTTTTCAACCTTTGCTGGTGCATAAGTATCTCTGTGGCCTTTACATTGAATTGTTTAACATTGTTTTTGCCAAGGTTAACATCAAAATAAATAAGAACATATTGGGACTACATTTTGTTTACATAACATTTGAGGTGAGTAGATCTTTTATCACCAATTCTGTACATCATAGTTGTTGCCACACCAAAGCATAACAGACACACAAATCAACATAATAAAATACATTTGTTTACACATTTTAACATCTTTTTGACATCAAATTGCTTGGAGGATGACTTGAACTCCATTTTTTGGGGTGAGAATGAAAACATCAGCCGGGTAGTGGACATAGTTTGGTGACATAGTGAACTTGTACCGCTGCAGAATCATTGAAAGCGCAATCTTTGCTTCGTTGGTGGTAAAGTTCAAGCCCACGCAAGTTCGAGGTCCCATACCAAATGGGAAAAATGCTGTAGCATTATTGTTGCTAGCTTTTGCAACCCCCTCTGCAAATCTCTCAGGTTTAAATAAATGGACATCTTTGCCCCATATTTGAGGGTTGTGATGAAGTGCTAGAATTGAAATGAACACATTTATATTAGGAGGAAGTTTGAGGTCCGCCAATTTAACTTCCCTCTCAACTTTCCTTGTCAGAGTAAGCACAGGAGGATAGAGTCTGAGAGATTCATTAATGATCATGTTCATCTGCACATAAATATAAGTAGTAAACATATTTCTAAGTGAAGAAAGAAAAACATGACATCGAATTGAAAGTAAAAACTAAGACTTGCTTACAGTTTTCAGTCGGGCAATTCCATCAGAACTTGGATTTTTGTCACCAAATAACTCAATCACCTCCTTCCTTGCTTTTTCTTGCCAATCCGTATGGATTGCAAGAAGAAAAACACTCCAAGCAAGTAAATTTGTTGTTGTTAGATGTCCAGCACCATACAATGCCTTGATCTCATCAACCATTTGTGCCAGTGTAATTCTCTTGCTATGATCAGATTCATGAGCAAGTTTAACAAGTTGTCCAAGATAATCACTACCAAAGCTGTCAGTTTCAACGTTCTTCACTGTCTTTCTTTCCTTTACAAGGTCTAGGATGGACTTCTTTATTCCTTGTTCAAGTTTCTCTGCTTCAATCTCGTCTTCAGTCCTAAATATTTGGCTGAAAAAGTTGACATTGTTTAGAACATGGATAACAAAACTAATCCACTAAATTAGTTTGTTGTTAAGTAATTATTCCAATATCAAAATTTTAATGCTCAAATTATAGCTTATTTGACTCCTTGTTCACAAAGTGGTAATTGATGGATCTAATTCCAGTTACTGAATCAAGAGTTTTATAAGGAACATCAATCTCGGAGACCAGACATCCTAATAAGTCCGGGCAACTAAAACCAAAATCACAAGAAAGATAAAATTCTCGTATCTCTCCAAATCGTGCTTGCTCCTTTCTCCTTGTGTGTTAATATATGAAGTTTACATTATGCCAAGTTGCCCATGTCAGAGAGAGAAACATAGAAATCCATCGGGTTCAGGTGAAATTGGAGTTGAGCAACAAATCAGTTGTCAGTTATAAAGGCTCACCTAGTGAGTCGTCAAGAAAACTAACCAAATAATTGCACATGTTGATGATTCTTAAGTCCATTCTTTAAGTTCTTGTTTAGTTAAGGGAATTAGCTACAGCTAAGCTAACCTTCAGTGGTGCCATGAAGTAATTTACCTGATGCCAGGAAGCCTTATGTTATAAATATTTCTAACAGTTACTGCAGTCAACTTGGCCACCATCTCAAATATATGCTTTCCTTCCAAGAAACTACTACCAAAAGCTGTCCTGGAAATCACTTCAGTAGTTAATACCCCAAATTCTTTAAACACGTCAATCTCTTTTCCTTCATAATGTCTCCACCTTTCTAGCATCATCTCGACACTGATGCTCATTTCTGGAATCATACTCTGTACATATAGCAGCACTTAATATTATCAGCAGAAATTCGATACCTTGAAAATCCAAAATTTCTCGTCAGAATAATTCTCATCAAACAATAACTTATTTGATCATATCAAGACATACCCTTTTGCCATAACTATAAAAACAATGGTTATATAAATCTAAAAAGTTACTAGGCTTACTTTCAAACTCTCTGCATGGAAAGTGTGATTTGCCAATTTCCGTATCTTTGCCCATTTTTCACCTTCATTTGTTATAAGTGCTTCTCCTAACAGTTTTTTTGCATAGCCTTCCATGTCCATTTTTGGATAAGCACCTTCTTTGTTGTTAAGGATTTCTCTAATAAGCTCTGGTTCCGTAACAAACAGTTGGGCTTGTGAACCATGCCAATTAAGAAAATTCATCCCTGTTATCAAAGAAAGAAGACAAAAAACAAAGAAGATAAAAAGAGAAGAAGAACCTTGCATTAGTTTAGATACTAAAAAAATCTCTTAAGAGCTTGAAGGTGTTGTATACTAGGTGCTTTTCAATTTCAACTAATTATGCTTACAATGAAAGAACTGAAACAATTCTGGTGGACTTTCTTGTGCATTCCTTTTGAGTTTTTTTTTTCCTCACCACCTTTCATACATAGGTAAAGTACTCGAAGTTGTGATTTTAGTACACATGGTACTGCTAATACCTTGCCAAAATGTAGTTAACAATATCTTACCATAAATCTGTGTCCAGGAATAAACATGAGGCTGAATCCTTTGGAATATGTCGTGCGATATGTCCATGGGTTTACCCATTGTCTGGCTTCTCATGTCAGAAATCTCTTTGGTGCTCCCATGAGGGAATCTGTAAGGGGGGCCTTTAATTCCCTGTAAACTCATCATATTCTGTATGCCAATTGGAGTGAACCATACCTTACAAAGGAACTTAATGATCACCTGAAGAAGATAGAGACACAGAGTGGCTGAAAGGAAAATTATGAGAGCTCCAACCACACCCATACTTGTTCAAGTGTGAACTTAAGATCAACTGATCTTTACTATATCTTAGTATTTCATTTATGCTGCTTTTTATGTATGATAATGGATTATTAATGACAAGTTTTTCAATAACTATGGACTAAGTTTTATCTTCTGCATGCCTGTGATACCGACTTAACATTTAAATAATTGATAGAATCGATCTCAATGATATTCATGGCATAACACTCACATCAGATATCACTTTCAACTAAACATCAGGCTTCTAAATTTTCATGGACCACTGGTTACTTGTGTCTAAAGAAAGCTTTGATATTCCTTTCTACCCAACATCAGGGCTTCTAAACTTTTTGTTGGACCACTGCCTTCATATTTCAAATGAAAGCTTTGAATGAGTCCAAATAGAGCAGCTCCTATAAGTACAATTATTGCTATTTTCTTATAGATTTTCTTATATTTAACCATTTAAGAAGCTGGGTGTGGCACTGTTTTACTCTATGAATAAAACAAAGCTATTCTGTAAACCAAATCTGTCTTCTACTCCCTAAACAAAGATTCCAAATCACATCCAGCGACTATGTTATGAAATCATTGAGGCTTTTTAGTTCAGCAGCATTTGGATTCATAGTTGATAAATTGTGGGTTGGATTGTAAATTTACTAGTCTTCCTTTCAACCTCTTTGTTTCTGTACCTCCTGTCGAATCTCATGATGAGGTCGCTGGGAATCAAAGGCCCTTATTACAAATTTCTCCAAGGAAACACCAAAGAGATCTTCAACATGCGAAGACAATCTATGAGCAGAACCCTCGATAATTTGTCACACAACATATTCCCCAGAATTCTGCCTCATGTGCAGTCTTGGGTAGACTTATATGTTAACAAACTGTCTCCTGTAATCTTTTCAGGATATAAAAGTACATAAGAAACTTGAGGGCAAATAGTCCCTATTTGCATGCAAATACCTGTTCTGAGAGAGATTTTTACCTCAATTGAACCTTTATACTCTCTGGTATCTTCTGCCTACGGAGATGAATTTTCTTAATTGGTATGGTCCTCAAGCTCAATTGGTTGTCACTGACACAAAGCATATAAAAGAAATACTTAACAATGAAGATGATGGTTATCCAAAAATAGACCTGGAAGGCTATGCAAAGAAACTTTTAGCAGATGGACTTCCATCATCCAAAGGTGAAAAATGGGTGAAAATGGGAAAACTTGCCAACCATGTTTTTCATGGAGAGAGTTTGAAGGTAACCTTTACTTCTCTTCAAGCATCAGAATTTCATTTCTTTTTCATTGGAACAATTGAAACGCTTTTGTTTCCATGGAGAGCAAAATGAATTAGTGATTGAATATCGAAATTCTTATCTTTTGAAGTGTTTCGAGATGTTTGAGGTGTTTTGGAAAAAAAGATTTGCATGAGGGGTGGCTAAAGAAACCACCAACATGGCAGCAACATTTTTCCTATTCGTTTTTGGGCCCCGGGCTGGTGTGGGACTGAATTTTGCGGTTGTCGAGTCAACAATTGCACTCTCAATGATTCTGCGACCCAACATGTTTAGTCTCTCGCCAACTTACGTTCACTACCCGCTTCAGATTCTCATGGCTGGTTCCCAACATTGAGTTCAAGTCATTCTTCATACAACTTGAGCATATAATTCTCTTTAATGGAGTACCCTCATATTTTCCTTAAAGTAATTAATCAGCTCCGGGGGAGATTGATGATGGAGATTTATTGCGGCCTTCTCCTGTTCATCAACTTGAACGTCAATCTTCCGCGGATGATGTTACGGATCAGCCTCACTCTTCAAGCCAGCAGCTTTGCTCAGTATCTTCTGTCGATTGTCAGCCTGTTCAACTGACCTCAGAGGATTCCAATCACCCAGCACAACATGTTTCTTCTTGGTGGAGATTATTTTGTGAGAGATTGCACAAATACTTCATGCAAAATCATTGAAAGTGCAATCTTTGCTCCAATATAGAGTTCATGTCAAATTGACTTGCTAGTTGCTACTCAAGTGTAGACAAAACATGAGCATAGCAGCAAAAGATATTATTTAGGTGCAATTAACAGCATTTAAAGCAATCAAGATCAGGGAGAAATAAATCTTTTTGATAAGACTCAAATAGAATGCTGTTTATTGATCGATTAATTAGTTAATGGCACAATTATATGACGGAATATATGTAGAGACTTCAATAAATCATGTAAACTAGTAGTAATTAAGCTGTTAAAAGTTATTATTATTAGATAGAGTGCACTTTAAAGAATGTGTGTGTGTGTGTGTGTGAGAGAGAGAGAGAGAGAGAGTGGCAGTATTGTAGGGAATAGACAGGGTTTTATAGCTTGAACAGGTACAACCAAACAGCAAAAGCCCAAGCATTGTGGTACAGAGGAAGTAAAACAGAGACAATTATCTGTTTGTGAGCAGAAACAGATACTAAATTTCCACATGAAGATCAAGCAGGCTTGCATTGGAAAAGGAAACATTTAGGCACTCCTAAAAAACTTTCAAAATGGTGAAGCTTAGAAAAACCAACAATACACCCACCCAGTCTTTTGAGTTTTGATGTTCAGTTGCTGAGGAATGTATCATACTAAAAGTTATAAATATGCAAAACCTAGTTACAATTCATTTGGGTTAAATTATCATTTAATTGGATTAAGTTATGATGAAAAAAGAAGAAGAAGGAGTTGGGATCCATTAAGATCGGATTTCAAACAATCATAGCTCTTTTATCGCGGAATTAGACCAACCCAGAGGAGAACCAATAACTAGGTGAATCTTCCAACAAGCACAAAACCATTATACTTCAATAACCATATATCCAGATGAAGCCAAACCATGTAAGAGACTTAATATCCCATATCCGTACACATACAAAATAGCAAATGCACATGGAAAATTAACAAAAAGTTTATGAAAGTTTTACAGGCTTCAAACAACCACATAATCCTTCAAACACAAAACAGCATTACATAAGTATCAAGTCATTTCCAGCCATTACACAATCATATGTAGGAGAGAATTTAAGATCACTCCAAATCTGAAATAACAATAATTAAAAACAAGATTAAATGAAAAGGAAATTGAAGAAGATGATAAAGAAAAGTTTAATTCTTTCCACGAAGACCACGAAAGTATGATTTGGGGTCACTCTCAAAGGAAGACCTTGACATCCTATGGTTCCTCCCTGGAGCTTTCATGGTCTTGACCGCCTTATTTCTTTGGCAGCAACATTTGGTGCAAATCCAAAGGGTCACCAGCAAAACCAACCCAGTGATAACAAAGGGCTTATAATTAACTTGGAGCCAGTGGTGTAGTTGCTTTCCTCTGGTCTCTCTCTCTCGTGTAAACACCTTGTCAAACCAACCCATGAAATACCCACCAAAGTTCTCCAACATCAGAAGCACTTCTTTCAGCTTCTCTAGCGCGTTGTTCATCATCTCATCTGCTCCCACTTCTTTCAACTTCGCCTGCAGATTCTCTCTCTCTCTCTCTCACTTTCCAGCCCCGTCCTAATGGAATTCTTCGCATAGAATATTTTTAGAGTACCTTAAAAAATAGGTTTAATAATTATAGTTATTAATTTTATTATAAATTCTAATAAATATTGAGATTTAGTACTTTTAATTATTAAATTAATAGATTTTTTTGTTCAATAATATTTCTTATTTTATAAAGATTTTATTTTCTTAAAATCAAAGACTCAAGTCCTTCCTCCCCTCCCCTTCCCCCCAAAAAATTATAATTATTAAGTACAAATTTTAAATATAACTTTTTTTATATCTAAAAAAAATTACCTATATTTTTATGTAGGGAAAATCTCACTTTCGCCCTTAAATTTTTTCACTTCACACATAAAATATTTCATATTATATCTTTAATAAATTAAAAATAATTAAAAATAATTTATAAAAATAAAACTGCGTATATCAAACTCTCTTTAAATTCTGTAATAATGAAAACCTCGTGTAATAGTGAATACATCCTTTTTATGATGTGATTTCAGTCAAAATCCACTGGCGCAACATTTTAATTCTGTATTTTAAGTAAAAAGTACAATCATGTCATATAGTTTTTTTTTTTTTTTTATCATAGTCATATAGTTTAAATTCATTTAATTTTTTGGTTATTGAAGTGCTTTTCTTAAACTCTTTTATTTAGATAAATTATATTAACATCCCTATACTTTTTAATAACTGTAAGAGATATAACAAATTTTGAAATTTTGTTGCACTCCACAACAAAAAAAAAAAAACAACCTCAACTTGAATTTAGACTTGATCTTCCATCCACAACCTAGACCCCTTGATCTTTCCCCATTTCCCCTCATAACATTGATCTGCCCAACCCCACCTCGTATTTGCATCCCCCCGTGTCACCAACCCTGATCTGTTGTAGTTAAATTAACTAGAGGTTTAACCAATGGTAACATAAATTAACCATATTTTATATATATTTAAGCAATGCTATATATATTTTATTTATATTTAAGAAATTTAATTTTAGCATACACCGTCATTTCAATCCATAAAGAATTGAAATTGTTCCTTTCAATCCTAAGCAAGATATTTAGGAAAATCTTAAAAAAAAAAAAAGACGAAGTGATACGAAAAGAGAGGCACCCTCAGCAACAAGACAACATGCACAAGTTAGGAATTTCAATTTCAATTCAAAAATCTCTATAGACCCGGTTGATTATGCTCGCAATTATGATAGGGCTTCGATTTATGGTTCCCTTTAATTAAATCAATGAGCTTTTTGTTTAGGATAATAGGGTTATGAAATAAAGAATATTCCAAAACATAATTACTTATTGAAGCTGTCGTTAGTAATCCTAAAGACAAGCAAATTATGTGAAATGAATATAAGAACTACAAAAAAGTGCAATCATCAGTTTAGAGAAGAAAATCTAAGTGGCAAATAAGCTTGCAAGGATGGGTGCAGACTGCAGAGGGTGATCAAGAAACTGTATCATATCGCAAATGACAGATTTATCACGTCGATTACCTGAACTAGGAAGGATAGATAAAACTAGCGCGACATATATTAGGAAGTAAAAATTTACTGTATTTTTAAATTTGTTGTTATTTGGATTGTATTTCTTGATTTTGTGGTTTTAGGTGCTGCTATGTAACCATGGTATTCCTCCTCCACAAATGACGGTTACTTAATAAACTTGGAGGTACCGTCCTCCTTTCTTTAAAAAAAAAAAAACTACAAAGAAGTGCAATGTTTAAAAAAATCATGGGGGTGTTTCTGTTATTAGAATAATTCATAAGGGAGTCATTGGTACTTACCATAATTTTTATTTTTTAATGTCGTTTTTGTTTTATTTTTTTTGGTTTTTGTGCAATTTTTTTAATGAAGAAAGGGTAGGGTGGGCCTAGGGTAAACAATCTGCTTTTGGATTCCTTTGGCAAAGGATAAAAACAATGGTGGCAAGACCTTTTCGGATAAGAGCTTAAGCTTCGAGTCTAAGCAACAGATTTCACCTTAAAGTGTGGAACACAATGGTTCACGGAGAAATGAAAAAAAAAATAAAAAAAATAGAGCAATAATTGGTGGGTAAAAACTTTGCTTTTGGATTCCAAGGAGAAAGGGGAAAAAAAGAGAGCAATAGCTGGTGGCAACGCNAAAAAAAAAAAAAGACGAAGTGATACGAAAAGAGAGGCACCCTCAGCAACAAGACAACATGCACAAGTTAGGAATTTCAATTTCAATTCAAAAATCTCTATAGACCCGGTTGATTATGCTCGCAATTATGATAGGGCTTCGATTTATGGTTCCCTTTAATTAAATCAATGAGCTTTTTGTTTAGGATAATAGGGTTATGAAATAAAGAATATTCCAAAACATAATTACTTATTGAAGCTGTCGTTAGTAATCCTAAAGACAAGCAAATTATGTGAAATGAATATAAGAACTACAAAAAAGTGCAATCATCAGTTTAGAGAAGAAAATCTAAGTGGCAAATAAGCTTGCAAGGATGGGTGCAGACTGCAGAGGGTGATCAAGAAACTGTATCATATCGCAAATGACAGATTTATCACGTCGATTACCTGAACTAGGAAGGATAGATAAAACTAGCGCGACATATATTAGGAAGTAAAAATTTACTGTATTTTTAAATTTGTTGTTATTTGGATTGTATTTCTTGATTTTGTGGTTTTAGGTGCTGCTATGTAACCATGGTATTCCTCCTCCACAAATGACGGTTACTTAATAAACTTGGAGGTACCGTCCTCCTTTCTTTAAAAAAAAAAACTACAAAGAAGTGCAATGTTTAAAAAAATCATGGGGGTGTTTCTGTTATTAGAATAATTCATAAGGGTGTCATTGATACTTACCATAATTTTTTTTTTTCAATGTCTTTTTTGTTTTATTTTTTTTTGGTTTTTGTGTAATTTTTTGAATGAAGAAAGGGGAGGGTGGGCCTAGGGTAAACAATCTGCTTTTGGATTCCTTTGGCAAAGGATAAAAACAATGGTGGCAAGACCTTTTCGGATAAGAGCTTAAGCTTCGAGTCTAAGCAACAGATTTCAACTTAAAGTGTGGAACACAATGGTTCACGGAGAAATGAAAAAAAAAANTTTTTTTTTTTTTTTTATCATAGTCATATAGTTTAAATTCATTTAATTTTTTGGTTATTGAAGTGCTTTTCTTAAACTCTTTTATTTAGATAAATTATATTAACATCCCTATACTTTTTAATAACTGTAAGAGATATAACAAATTTTGAAATTTTGTTGCACTCCACAACAAAAAAAAAAAAACAACCTCAACTTGAATTTAGACTTGATCTTCCATCCACAACCTAGACCCCTTGATCTTTCCCCATTTCCCCTCATAACATTGATCTGCCCAACCCCACCTCGTATTTGCATCCCCCCGTGTCACCAACCCTGATCTGTTGTAGTTAAATTAACTAGAGGTTTAACCAATGGTAACATAAATTAACCATATTTTATATATATTTAAGCAATGCTATATATATTTTATTTATATTTAAGAAATTTAATTTTAGCATACACCGTCATTTCAATCCATAAAGAATTGAAATTGTTCCTTTCAATCCTAAGCAAGATATTTAGGAAAATCTTAAAAAAAAAAAAAGACGAAGTGATACGAAAAGAGAGGCACCCTCAGCAACAAGACAACATGCACAAGTTAGGAATTTCAATTTCAATTCAAAAATCTCTATAGACCCGGTTGATTATGCTCGCAATTATGATAGGGCTTCGATTTATGGTTCCCTTTAATTAAATCAATGAGCTTTTTGTTTAGGATAATAGGGTTATGAAATAAAGAATATTCCAAAACATAATTACTTATTGAAGCTGTCGTTAGTAATCCTAAAGACAAGCAAATTATGTGAAATGAATATAAGAACTACAAAAAAGTGCAATCATCAGTTTAGAGAAGAAAATCTAAGTGGCAAATAAGCTTGCAAGGATGGGTGCAGACTGCAGAGGGTGATCAAGAAACTGTATCATATCGCAAATGACAGATTTATCACGTCGATTACCTGAACTAGGAAGGATAGATAAAACTAGCGCGACATATATTAGGAAGTAAAAATTTACTGTATTTTTAAATTTGTTGTTATTTGGATTGTATTTCTTGATTTTGTGGTTTTAGGTGCTGCTATGTAACCATGGTATTCCTCCTCCACAAATGACGGTTACTTAATAAACTTGGAGGTACCGTCCTCCTTTTTTTAAAAAAAAAAAAACTACAAAGAAGTGCAATGTTTAAAAAAATCATGGGGGTGTTTCTGTTATTAGAATAATTCATAAGGGTGTCATTGATACTTACCATAATTTTTTTTTTTCAATGTCTTTTTTGTTTTATTTTTTTTTGGTTTTTGTGTAATTTTTTGAATGAAGAAAGGGGAGGGTGGGCCTAGGGTAAACAATCTGCTTTTGGATTCCTTTGGCAAAGGATAAAAACAATGGTGGCAAGACCTTTTCGGATAAGAGCTTAAGCTTCGAGTCTAAGCAACAGATTTCAACTTAAAGTGTGGAACACAATGGTTCACGGAGAAATGAAAAAAAAAATAAAAAAAATAGAGCAATAATTGGTGGGTAAAAACTTTGCTTTTGGATTCCAAGGAGAAAGGGGAAAAAAAGATAGCAATAGCTGGTGGCAACGCCTTTTGGGATAAAAGCTTAAGCTTAGAGGTTAAGAAATGGACCATTATCTACACTTGTTGCACTCTTCAAGACCCCCTGAAATTGCTATATTTAAAGGTACCGGCTATTTCTGCTCCTTAAATCTCTTTTCTCATCCTATTTAATTTTTTTATTTCAAACTATGTCCAAAAATTTTTGTTATGCAAATCTCTTGTTTCCTATTTAATTTAGAAAATATACTCAGTTATTATGTCCCAAATTCAATATAAACGAGACTAAACAAATTTCATATGATTCTACGATATACGTAATAACAAATTACATTTATAATAAAATTCTTTATTATTAAGAAATTATTATGAAATAAGCAATAAATCTCACAGTGGTTGGTGTAGTGTGCCCTTTTTTTTTTTTTTTTAAGATTAATTTTTAAAATTTTTTTTTCATTACCTGATTCGCAAGAGTTCTCTTTCAGACTAGTACCGAATATTAGGCGTACCGGTGATATTACATAATTATTTATTAATAACCTTTGCGTGTGTGTGGACAGCATTATTTCTAGCAATAGGTTGTGGTGGGCCCAATGCCATTACTAGTCAATTAAAATTCCACCAGGACCACTATCCAAACCCCCGTACGAGGAAGAAGAATACTTTAATAAATAAGAGGATATAGTAAACTTCTTTAGGGGAATAGGGCAAACTAACTTTTTCTTTTTCTTTTTAAGGAATCTAACCTTAGCAGGGTTTGCACCAATTGTTGTTAATTTCCTCATATTTTCTCCACAATAATTCAAAATATTGTTTAATCCCAATTAAAATGGCTGATTTGAAGTGAAAACCCAATTCAAATCATTTAATTTTTTTTTTTTGAGCAGAATTGATATCATTTTCAAGAAGGAAGTTTCACGGGTCGTTGGTCATTTCATGTACACTCAGACTTGGAAGTCGTCATATTTAATTTAATAGCGAATGGGAAATAGCAAAGAAGTTGAATTATTATCTCCTCTTTTACACCCACCCATAGGATGAAAGGACTACTAATAAAGGTGAAAGTTATATTATAAAAAATACAATATAATTAATTTTTATAAGTTTTATGTGTTGAGATTNCCCAAATTCAATATAAACGAGACTAAACAAATTTCATATGATTCTACGATATACGTAATAACAAATTACAGTTATAATAAAATTCTTTATTATCAAGAAATTATTATGAAATAAGCAATAAATCTCACAGTGGTTGGTGTAGTGTGCCCTTTTTTTTTTTTTGAAGATTTATTTTTCAAATTTTTTTTTTCATTACCTGATTCGCAAGAGTTCTCTTTCAGATTACTACGGAATATTAGGCGTAACGGTGATATTACATAATTATTTATTATTAACCTTTGCGTGTGTGGACAGCATTATTTCTAGCAATAGGTTGTGGTGGGCCCAATGCCATTACTAGTCAATTAAAATTCCACCAGCACCACTATCCAAACCCCCGTACGAGGAAGAAGAGTACTTTAATAAATAAGAGGTTATAGTAAACTTCTTTAGGGGAATAGGGCAAACTAACTTCTTCTTTTTCTTTTTAAGGAATCTATCCTTAGCATTAAACAATTTTTTTTGGGTTTGCACCAATTGTTGTTAATTTCCTCATATTTTCTCCACAATAATTCAAAATATTGTTTAATCCCAATTAAAATGGCTGATTTGAAGTGAAAACCCAATTCAAATCATTTAATTTTTTTTTTTTGAGCAGAATTGATATCATTTTCAAGAAGGAAGTTTCACGGGTCGTTGGTCATTTCATGTACACTCAGACTTGGAAGTCGTCATATTTAATTTAATAGCGAATGGGAAATAGCAAAGAAGTTGAATTATTATCTCCTCTTTTACACCCACCCATAGGATGAAAGGACTACTAATAAAGGTGAAAGTTATATTATAAAAAATACAATATAATTAATTTTTATAAGTTTTATGTGTTGAGATTTAAATTTTTGGATTTATTTACAACAAAAAATAGAAGATTGATCCTAATAAAATTATAAATTTTTGAGGTATGTTACAATTTGTAAGGTTTAAGTTATAATAATAATAATGAGATTAATTCCAATTACTTCCAAAATTTGTATTAAAAAATCAAAAAATTTGTGCATAACTTTTTCTCGATGAAAAATATTATTTGGATCTAATTTGGAGACTTAATGATGTACAACCATTAAATTAATTATAGGCCTCATCTAACTTAAAATACACAACTAATTCAATAATTACATTAAAATCATATCACTAAGTCTACAAATAAGATGATAATAACATTGCTCTTTCCGGATAGCCTTCTCTACTAAGAACACAGTGTTAAAGAATAGTGAGCAGCAAAAAGAGAGAAAAAAAGAAAGTAGGTGATTCTTCAAGTGCCCCGAATTTGCTATATATAATCACTCTGTTGATCTCCTCGAGAGAAGTGGCAAATACAAAAGAAAAGTTGAACACAAAATGAGTAACTTTGTAGTGATGGCAGGGATGGCCAAGGTGGTGGTCGGAGCAGTGGCCGGACTAGCTCTTGCTGCGTGGGGTATTGCTATGCTTTTCTCAGGCCCTAAACCTGAAACTGAAACTTCCACCAACGGGGAAACCATGACAGCTCCGGGAAGAGACGGCAGGGATGACTTCGACAAAGACCCTGGCACCTATTATTTAGGCTGAAAACTCACTTGAAGCTCCGCAAACTTCGCAACAAGAAATAGTGATCTGTATGTCATTTTGTTTTGCTATTCTGCTTATTATCTAGGCTGTTGTGTGTTTGTGGACTTTTTGTGTTGGTGGTTTGTAGTGATCTCTCCAGTTATTTTGCATTGCTAAACTATGTTTGGGAAACACCGGAGATATATATAGCAAAGTGAGTCAATATGTAATGGTTGGTTTCAACTGAAATGGGTATTTATGTTGTTTGGTGTCTCAGAGCAATTCCAACGGGATAACTAAAGGAGGCCTATTAGCTGTTTTAAATATTCAATCCATAATTTTTTGATCCAACGGGCTATCTCTCTCACTCAATATTACCCATTCCCCAATATAAGCTCGCTGGATTTGGCCATTGATTGTGGCTAGCTATTCCTCAACAAAAGGCATCGTCTTCATCGCCAAGCTCAGTCAACAGAAGACTCTCTCAAAAGCATCGTCTTCATCATAGAAACTCCATTGTCTGGTAGGCTCTCTCTCTCACAAAAACTCCATCGTCTTAACTTGGAAACTGTTCACAGTCGGTAGTTCTCAAATTCTTGTTCACAAATTGAGGTTGGGTTGAGAGGATTAAAAACTGAGGTAGTAAAACCTTCCAAAAATTCAACAAAATGTCCCAAAAAATATTGCAAAATTTCCTAAAAAATTCAACAAAACACCCTGAAAATTCAATAACACCCTCCAAAATTAGCAAAACCCTCCAAAAAACCAATAAAATCCTCCCAAAAATCCAGTAAACTCCCTCAAAAAAATCCAGTAATGTGAAGCACCTTTAGATTTTGAAATTGCTTGAGTTTTTTGTTGAAAGCTTTGTTGTACACTTGTGGACAACCAAACACAAAAACAGAGATTGGAACGAGTGTTAAAATATAATTTTTAATTATATTATTAAAAATTAGTTAAAATTAGTTGAAATAATTAGTTATAATAGATAACGTAGTTGGAATGAATTTGTAAAAGTGACTAATTAAAATAGATAATATAATATTTAAATATATTTTAGATAGTTACTTTGGATAGTTCCATTAGAGATGCTCTTATATATGTGATCCCAATCCCTCTTTAGTATTTATATTCGATTGATTGCGCACTAAAATACTTGCTTATGCACTACATAATAGATATTGGCCGGACCGTCTTTTGTAGATTTTCTCTTATTCCCCGATGTAAATTAGAGGGAGACTCTTTAATACATAATAGATAGATCGCACTTAAATTCGTCGCATATAATGTCTAAATAAACACCAAGAGAAAATGCATTATCATAAACAAAATTATTGTTTTTGAAGGATCCAGAAACTTCATCCCAATTTTGTTGCATGGAAATATTGTCGCCAGAAATTTTTCTGTCGGTATTTTTGTCGGCCAAATTTTTTGGGCCCTCCGTATTTAAATCGTAAAAGTTATAAAATGAATCAAAAATTTAAAATTTTTTTAATTATAAAAAAGCCCAAAAATTTGGATTTGAACTCATTAAGTTTTCGCCTTCTCCACAATTAATGCCGTGCCCCTGCTCTCTTTATGTCCAAATCAGATGATGTTGTTCTATGAAGTTGATTTATTGCGACATGACATAAGTAAGTTAATTACATGAGGAGAAGTTGTAGCATTTCTAGAGAAGAGATATGGTTGGGAAAAAAAAATCCGATTTTACATTACCACTTGAACATTGTGCAGGCTTGCATTGGAAAATAAAATAATCACAATCATACTCCTCAATTTTCCAAGAAAATAACTGGGCGTGTTTGGTTTAGTTTTCGAAAACTTTTTTTTTGTTATCAAAATTTTAAAAGCACCCAAATCCTGTTTGTTTAAGTTTTTTGTTCTCTAATTTTTTGAAAATTTTAAAAATTGAGATGTGAGTTTAGAGAACAATAAAATAATATTTTTATTGTTTTCTCAGGCAAAACCAAAATAAGAGAAACAATTCCTCCTCTTTAATGAGGTCCACCCATCAAATTTTCTTACGAGCAAAATGTATATTTTTGGTGGTGGTGGTAGGTTTTGGTGGTAATTGTGGGTTTTGGATGATTGTGAATTTCGGTGGTGATTTGTGGGTTTTGGCGGTGGTTGTGGGTCTTGATGCACTTCTTCATCGGTGGTTGTGGGTTTCCCATTTGATTTTGTGCTTTATGGTCTTGATGCACAGCGAGAGAGAGAGAGAGAGGGAGAGAGTTGAAACAAATTTTATAATTTTATTCTCCAAACAAATTTTATAATTTTTGTTTTTTAAAATTATTTTTAAAAATATATAATCAAACAAGTTTTATAATATAAAAATTTTTAAAAATATATTCTTAAAATTTTTTTCAAAAATAATTTTTAAATACTGATTTTTGAGATGCAAATCAACCGCTCCAGCATTTTCCAAAACTCAATTTCTCGTGCTTTGTTCGTCTTTTGACGTTTACCTGAGCTTCACACTTCCACTTGAAAACTTACTACCTTAAATAGTCATAGGTGAAATACAAGGGTGGAACCAGAAAATTATGTTAGGGTGGACATGAATATTTTAATAAATTATTATATTTTTCTTATAATTGATAGAAATAGAACAATAATTTATTTAATTACATCTTATTTAATACTTAAAAGTTCAGTAAACCCACCATACCGAAATTTGGTAAGCTTAGTATATATAAACGATAACATTTTTTTTTATAAAATATTAATTAATTTAAATCATTTAGAATTGACTTTAGTGAATTTTTGTACTTTTAAAACGTTGCATAACAACTTTATTATTCTTTAGATACATAATCATGTTATCACTTTGGTATTTGTAAATCATTTAATCAATTATGTAATTTAATGTGCACTCTATAATTTTTACCATAATTAACAAAAATAAATGTCAAAATCACAAGTAAACTAACAAAATTTATGTTATGTCCTTTTTAGTGTTAGAAAATATAAAATAATTCTAGTATATTCAAAATTTATCTAGATAGGTACATAACCAGTCTAAAATGTGTCAAAAAATTCATATTCATTTGATATAAATATACACTAATTGATGTGCCAAAAAAAATAGGGAGGACATAATTAAAATTATTCATTTGATATAAGTGTACATTAATATTTTTGTTTTTAATTTTGGTTGGGCACAAATAATATATTATACAAATATACAATATATATACCTAAGTATTAAAAAAAAAAATTGATGGGGGGCACTTGCCCACCCTAGAACAGGGCTGCCTCCGCCCTTGGTGAAATAGCAAAGAAGATGAACCATTATGCCATCTTTTACACCAACTCAAAGGACTACTAGTAAATATGTGCCTCTTCAAGACCCCCGGAATTTCATATACATAATAACACACTGTTCTATTCAAGAGGAACTGGCAAAAATAAGAAAAGTTGAACACCAAAATTGGGTTGCTGTAAGATCACAATGAGCAGCAGTGGGTATAAAAATATGTCCAAGACTCAGAGAGAGGATAAGATATTAGAGATAGCTAAAGTGGTTGGTATAGTTGTTGGTGCAGTGGCTGGAATTGCTGTTGTGGGGTGGGGTGTTTCTAAGCTTTTCTCAGGCTCTGGACCTTCTTCCACTATCAAAAAAATGATGGAAGCTCCGGGAAGAGACTGCTACATTTACATGGAAGACTTCGAGCAAGACCCTTCTGGGTATTTCCGCAGCCTTCGCGATTAGGAAAGACGATATTATTCATCTTGCAATTCTGCTTTGTGATCTAAGCAGTGTTCCTTTTTTTTTTTGATTTTCTGTTCATGTCCAGTTATTTTGCAATGCTAAATTATAGAGATTATCAGAATGAAACTAAATGAATAGGTATGGTGCTACGTGGCTCTGGTGGTGAATATTATATAAATATGATCTCCCTCATAAATGACCTCAACGATCTTCTACTCTTCTTTCGCATACCCTCCATAGTTATATTCTATTGACTGCAAAATGTTTGCTTATGCACTACTTTTGATTACCCAATATCTTTCAACAAGTACAAAACCATATGTTTCAATAAATTTTCAAATTGATGATACATTTACTCAATTCGGAATTTCTGTCAAGTCACGTTGAATGATCTGACAAAGGTTCTGGTCAATCATAGACGTAGCAACTCGGGAAGAGCCAGTAAAGATAGAAAATGACTTTCATAACGAAACACTACGTACCTTGGGCATGTTTATCAGGTTGAAACAACCCCACAATCCTTCAAAAACAAAACAGCATTGCATAAGTATCAAATCATTACCAGGCTTCCAGCCATTACAGACCATACGAAGGATGAAAAAAAAAATACCAAATCGGAGATGATATAACTGAAAATTATTATATGGCATACACTTAATTTTTAAGACAATAAAGCTAAGAAAAGTTCATTGTCATCCACGGAGATTGCGAAAGTATGATCTGGGGTCGCTTTCAAACACATGCCTTGGCATCATATAGTCCCTCCCCGGAGCTTTCATCATCTTCATCGCCCTCTGTAGGCGGCACCAACAACAGCAGGAACAAAAGCATACCGGCAATCCTAAAGACAAACATATTATGTGAAATGAATATAAGAGCTACAAAGAAGTGCAATCATCAGTTTAGAGAAGAAAATCTAAGTGGCAAATAAGCTTGCAAGGATGGGTGCAGACTGCAGAGGGTGATCAAGAAACTGTATCATATCGCAAATGACAGATTTATCACGTCGATTACCTGAACTAGGAAGGATAGATAAAACTAGCGCGACATATATTAGGAAGTAAAAATTTACTGTATTTTTAAATTTGTTGTTATTTGGATTGTATTTCTTGATTTTGTGGTTTTAGGTGCTGCTATGTAACCATGGTATTCCTCCTCCACAAATGACGGTTACTTAATAAACTTGGAGGTACCGTCCTCCTTTCTTTAAAAAAAAAAAATACAAAGAAGTGCAATGTTTAAAAAAATCATGGGGGTGTTTCTGTTATTAGAATAATTCATAAGGGTGTCATTGATACTTACCATAATTTTTTTTTTTCAATGTCTTTTTTGTTTTATTTTTTTTTGGTTTTTGTGTAATTTTTTGAATGAAGAAAGGGGAGGGTGGGCCTAGGGTAAACAATCTGCTTTTGGATTCCTTTGGCAAAGGATAAAAACAATGGTGGCAAGACCTTTTCGGATAAGAGCTTAAGCTTCGAGTCTAAGCAACAGATTTCACCTTAAAGTGTGGAACACAATGGTTCACGGAGAAATGAAAAAAAAAATAAAAAAAATAGAGCAATAATTGGTGGGTAAAAACATTGCTTTTGGATTCCAAGGAGAAAGGGGAAAAAAAGAGAGCAATAGCTGGTGGCAACGCCTTTTGGGATAAAAGCTTAAGCTTAGAGGTTAAGAAATGGACCATTATCTACACTTGTTGCACTCTTCAAGACCCCCTGAAATTGCCATATTTAAAGGTACCGGCTATTTCTGCTCCTTAAATCTCTTTTCTCATCCTATTTAATTTTTTTATTTCAAACTATGTCCAAAAATTTTTGTTATGCAAATCTCTTGTTTCCTATTTAATTTAGAAAATATACTCAGTTATTATGTCCCAAATTCAATATAAACGAGACTAAACAAATTTCATATGATTCTACGATATACGTAATAACAAATTACAGTTATAATAAAATTCTTTATTATCAATAAATTATTATGAAATAAGCAATAAATCTCACAGTGGTTGGTGTAGTGTGCCCTTTTTTTTTTTTTGAAGATTTATTTTTCAAATTTTTTTTTTCATTACCTGATTCGCAAGAGTTCTCTTTCAGATTAGTACGGAATATTAGGCGTAACGGTGATATTACATAATTATTTATTATTAACCTTTGCGTGTGTGGACAGCATTATTTCTAGCAATAGGTTGTGGTGGGCCCAATGCCATTACTAGTCAATTAAAATTCCACCAGCACCACTATCCAAACCCCCGTACGAGGAAGAAGAATACTTTAATAAATAAGAGGATATAGTAAACTTCTTTAGGGGAATAGGGCAAATTAACTTTTTCTTTTTCTTTTTCTTTTTAAGGAATCTAACCTTAGCATTAAACAATTTTTTTTGGGTTTGCACCAATTGTTGTTAATTTCCTCATATTTTCTCCACAATAATTCAAAATATTGTTTAATCCCAATTAAAATGGCTGATCTTAATGATTTAATGGAAGACAACTTACCAACACCAAACTTATTACTTACATTGGGCAGCTTTTTGCACTTCTAAAACAGAAGGCAAACCTACCCACAACTCACAAAGGATATGTGTGCGGGGATAAATGGACACAGAGAGCAATTACTTCATACGGAAATGAGATGGTGATGAAGAAGCGTCGATCAACTTACAAGATAAGAGAACACTTGAGTGATCTGTTGGCAGGTCGGAGATAGTTAAAAGGGCTTTGATACTTGAGTTGGATTACAAGTCAAAGAAAGTATGTAATGAATAGGTTATGATTAAATGAATTACTTGATATTTGAAGACCTTTATTTGTAGTGATAAGAAATTGTATCTAAAAGATCTCGAATCCTAGGTTGTAATATGATAAACCTCATCATTAGCCCTTAAATATTCAAGGTAGAGTCGTATTAGGACGCTAGGGCCTAGGAATACAAGATAGAATTAAATTAGGATTCTTGGTTGTGGGTCCATATTACCGGCTCTTAAGTATTCAGAGTGGTATTAGATTAAGACTCTTTGGTCCTAGATTGATTTTTCACCGAGTAAAACTCATCTATAGTAACCTTAGGTGCCAAGCGTAGACAAACAATATGTGAAAGTTAAAATAAAACTTAAAATATTAAATGAAACTATGTCAAGTAGATTTGTTTTAGCTTTAATAGTAGGGGGCAAATTATAAAAAATTTGAAAGTTTTTTAAAATATTAAATGAAGTTTAAAATTTTTCAAAATTTCAGTGGGAGCAATTGTCTTTATTGCCCCCACTGTAAATCTGTTCCTGTTATCTATACTGCTATCTATATTAGCTGACATTGAATCATTTGTTTCTATTGAAGGTGCTAACCCGTTGTGTGGCAGAGATAACTAAGTGACATATAAAATATGGCGATTAAGTAATTTCGCATAGAAATTAAGAACAAAAAAAATGTAAATAAGCAAATAAAAAATACAAAAAATCTTAACATGGTAAAAGTCACTAAACATGCAACTTAGGTCAATTGCAATTCCGTTAAAAAAAAAAAAAAGTTCAATTGCGGTTGAAGTTTGGTTCAAAAAATAAAAGAAAAATGCAATTGAAGTGAAAAAACAAGTTTGACAAATAACGAATCTAACCAGAAGTTGTTGTTTGAACCATGTTCGTAGGGTGTTTATAACCATTTTGGTACGAAAATGTCTTTACAAATCGAGTGGGCAATATAAAATATACTGTGAAAGTATTCAACAAGATACTTTTAAGAGTGCCCAGAGTCAAGAGTGGCTCTGGCTTTGCTTCAGACTTAAGTTTGCCCTACTTCCTCAAGAAGTACCCTATTGTTATTAGAGTGTTCTACTTCCTCGTACAGACAGCTGTAAAAGGAGTAGGAAGTAACAAAAGTCGAATCGATTCGACTTACTTTCCGAGAGAAAGAGATTACGACAGAGAACATGCTTCAGGCTTAAGTTTGTCCTCCTTTTATAAAGAAGTTTAGAATCTCCTATTGTTATAATTTATTAAAGTAGTAACGATAACCCGTATACGAAGACACTGTATAATTTAAAAAAATTAAAAATAAATCGTGGACACAAAAAAATAAAGCATCGAATATGAACACTCACTAAGCTAAAAGCCTAAATTCATTCATAATACACTCGCACTTTGCATAAATGCTCCACAAAGCATTTAAATGAAAATTCTTGTGAAGACAAATTTCAATGAATAAATGAAGAAAATTCAACTTCAATTATTCGGTCTTGTCAAAGGCAGAATATCAACACCAAAATTAAAATATTCATAAAAAATAAACTTTTTATGACCCAAAATAAATTGCCAAAATATAAATTTAGAACTTTTGAATTTCCGATTCAGATACGTTACCCTTGAACTCTTGGTTTGTTGGTCATTTCATGTCACCTGAACTGCACAGTCAGACTTGGAAGTCGTCACATTTAATTTAATAGTCAATGGGAAATAGCAAAGAAGTTGAACCATTATATCATCTTTTACACCCACCCATAGGATGAAAGGACTATAAATAATGGTGAAAATTAGATATATTTACAACAAAAAATACAAGATCGATCCTAACAAAATTACAATTTTTTGAGTTACGTTACGATTTGTAAGGTTTAAGTTATAATAATAATAATAGGATTAATCCCAACTACCACCTAAATTTGTATAAAAAAATCAAAAAATTTATACATGATTTTTTTTTTCTTTTTCCGGGTAGTCTTCTCTATTAGCACACAGTGGTCAGCTGTTAGACTCGAAAAAATAATTGACACAAATTTAAACAATATCTAGCAAAAAAAAAAAACAGAGGATTGCTTATATATAAGTACTCTGCCCTTATATTATTATTATTATTTTATATAATAATAAAATATAAAATATATTTTATTATAGACGTATCTTGACTGTACCTGTATCTTTTTTTTAAAAATTTTATCATATCGTCGTATCCGTATCCTATCTTATTCTTGTCACGTATGCATATCCGTACTTCCCAGCTTATATATAACTGCTCTGCGCTGCTCTCCTCTCCTCGAGAGAAGTGGCAAAAACACAAGAACAAGGTGAAAACCAAAATGAGTAGCAATGGGAATAACTCCAAGACTCCGACAAAGGAGAAAGATCGAGAGACAGATCCAGAGATGTCAGGGATAGCCATGGTGGTCGGAGCAGTGGCCGGAATAGCTCTTGCTGGGTGGGGTATTGCTAAGCTTTTCTCAGGCTCGTCAGAATCTGAAACTGAAACTTCCACCAACAGGGATACCATGAAACCTCCGGGAGGAGACGGCGGGATTATTTATAGGGACGACTTCGAGAAAGACCCTCGCACCTATTTTCGCGAACTTCGCAACAAGAAAGGATGATCTCTAAGTCATTTTGTTTTGCTATTGTGGTTATTATCTAGGCTATTGTGTGCTTTTGTCTGTGTGTGTGTGTTTGTGGACGTGATCTCTCTCCAGTTATTTTGCATTGCTAAAATATATTTGGGAGACACTGGAGATATATATAGAAAGTGAGTCAATATGTAATGTTTAGTTTCCACTGAAATGAGAATTTTATGGTGTTTGGTTTGTTGTTGTACAAGTGATCCCAATCGCTCTTCAATATTTATATTTGATTGATTGGGTGCACTAAAATTCTTGCTTATACACTACACAATAGATCTGGGTCAGACCCTCTTTTCTAGATTTTCTGTGATTCCCTGATGTGAATTAGAGGGAGACTCTTTAATACATAATAGATCGCACTTAAATTCCTTGTATATAATGTCCAAATAAACACCAAGAGAAAATGTATTATCATAACCAAAATTTTTGTTTTTGAAGGACCCACAAGACGCATCTCAATTTTGTCGCCAGAAAAGTTATCGTCGAAAATTTTTATGCTGGATTTTTTAGGAGTCCTCATTTTTTGGCTAGAAAGCCGTTATAAATAGAGGGTTTAATGAAAGTCAAAATCATTCCAAAAATTAGTGAGCAAGAAACAAAGAGAGAGATCTCGGTGAAGTTTTGAGAGTTTTCTTATGTGAAAAATTTTTGTATTTAATTTTAAAGAAAAATAAAAAATTTCTCTTTGTTTATATTGTGTTAGATGTGATTTTCTGGCCCCGGGTCACTTTTCATTCAAAAATTATTGGTGTTTCAGGGGAGAAAACATAAATTAGTTAACATGATTGAGAGGATAATAATAGCAAAATTGGTAGTAGAAAAGATAAAATGGAGCTGGTACCTATTGGCTGGGTGGGGTTGAATTGTACCATATCCTTATTTATCTTATTTATGTGTTTTTACCTATATTGTGATATCCAAAAATATGATAAAAATAATTATCATAATAGTGATAAAAATTACCCACAAAAATTATAAAAAGTTTACTTTCTTTCGCATCTAGACATCAATTACGTGTGTGGAAAAGTGGGTGAACAGAGAAAATGACGAGCCAACCAACCGGTGACATTACTTTTCCTCAACCTTGTACCCTCCTAGCTGAGTAAAGGACTTTTATACGCTTTCTTTTTCTTTCTTTTTTTATTTTTTGGGGTGGGAGAAAAAGATGGCAATGATTTGGAACGATGAGAGAGTGAGTTTAAATAACTAGGATGTTAGACGTGGGGAGAAAAAAAACATTAGAAAAATACAAGTAAATTCTAATTTTTTTTTTTCTAAAAAATCATTTATTTGTACCATATTTAACATAGAAAAATTAGATTCTAATTTTAATAATTTATTCTCGAGAAGTTCTAAAATCAATGGGTAGAATATTTTGTTTTAGTTTTATCATTTTTATGAACACATCAGTTACATTTTTGTTATAACTCTATATCTGATTTTGACGAACTTGTCTCGATGATTATATTCATATATGAATTTTCTCATTGTTGACTTGTGTAATTTATTCCTTTGTAATTTAGATTTAATAGTCACGTGAGTTAAAATTAAATATAAAACAAAAAAAAAGGTAGTTATTTATTTTATCCGCTCTATAAGTTTTTACTGTTAATTATATATTTAGATGATATGAATTAATTAGAAAAAAAAATAATTAACTTTAGGACACGACCAACAAAAATTATTGAAAAAAATATAATTCGTGTGTTTATGGAAATAATAAACTCGGATACATACAATCATACAGAAAATAAAACACTTTAGTTCATATCATTTCAACCACCAGAACTCCGAACAGCATGCCACAAATCACTCCCATCATCTATCACACACAATTTATATATTATTATAGGAGATAATAACAACATAAGAAGTTCTATAAACACAAGAACGACTCAGATCGACTTACAACCGTCGATCATAGAAAATCATCATAAAAAGTTTAGCAGAGTTCATTGCTAGGATTCGCCCGGAGATCGCGAAAATATGATCTGGGGTTGCTCTCAAAGGTGTTCCTAGGCATTCTGTAATTTCTTCCGGGAGCTTTCATCGTCTTGATCAGTCCGCCTGATCTCCCTCCACGGCCAAAACATCGACGGCAGGAAATAACTCCACGGTGAAAACATCGACAACAACATCGATAGCAGTAAATAACTCCACGGCCAAAACATCGACAACAACATCGACAGCAGCAAATAAAAAAGATGAGAACCAACACAGCAATGAGAATGATTGCACCAACTTGGAGCCAGTGGTGTAATTGCTCTCCTCTGGTCTCTGGTGGAAACGCTTTCTCAAACCAACTTACCATATCTTCCCAAAAGTTATCAAACCAACTCAGCATATCTCCCCAACAGTTATCAAACCACCTTAGCAATTCCGTTAGCTTCTGTAGCACGTAGTTCATAATGCTCTGTACATCCATCTCTCTCTCTCTCTCTGTATTTCTATTCTCAACTTGCACAAAAAAAATCACCAACAGTGAGTTTTGTGGGTTGCTTTTTCAACCTTCCTTGGATTTATGGACTAATTAATGATTTTCATTTTTTTTTTCAGATTCTGCAAAACAAAACTGACTATTGCTTTAGGAGTAGTCAAAAAAAAATTAGTACCATACTTTCTTTTATTATATTTGTAAATATTTTTATTATTAATCTCATTTTATATCTCGAAACATCGTTCGAATTTTAATTTGCACCCTCAAAAATAGAAATTTGTATCAATGTGCACCCCCAAAGATCAAAAATCTCAATTTACATCCTCAAATATAGAAATTTGTATAAATGTGCACCCCCAAAGATCAAAAATTTTAATTTACACCCTTAAAGATATAAATTTATATCAATGTGCACCCCAAAGATAAAAAATCTCAATTTGCACTCTTAAATATAGAAATTTGTATCATTATGCACCTAAAACTAAATTGATAAATTATACCTAGATCCCCTCATGTTTGTCACTTAATCATTTGAACTTTTTTACATTTAAAATATTACTCCTACATCTCATGACATTTATGCACGTACAACATGTAACCCATTTTTATTGATATCTGTTAATAAAAACGATAAAAAATATAATTTTATCCTAATAAAAAATTATAATTTCATATTACCCTTTATTTTGTGGATTTAATTTACTCTAAAGTTCAAAATCAAGCTTACCATTTGAATGTCTAATAAAATGTAGATATTTATATAATATTTTTCATATTTTTCTTTATATAAATATGTACATTCTATTACACATTCAAATGGTAAGCTTGATTTTGAACTTTAGAGTAAATTAAATCCACAAAATAAAGGGTAATATGAAATTATAATTTTTTATTAAGATAAAATCATATTTTTTAACGATTATATTAATAGATATTAACAAAAAGTGGTTATGTTTACACATGTACAAACGTCATGAGATGTAGGAGTAATATNTCTACATTCTATTAGACATTCAAATGGTAAGCTTGATTTTGAACTTTAGAGTATATTAAATCCACAAAATAAAAGGTAATATAAAATTATAATTTTTTATTACGATAAAATCATATTTTTTAACGATTATATTAACAGATATCAACGAAAAGTGATTATGTTTACACATGTACAAACGTCATGAGATATATGAGTAATATTCTAAATGTGAAGGAGTTCAAATGATTAAGTAACAAACATGAGAGATTTAGGTATAATTTATCAATTTAGTTTTAGGTGCACATTGATACAGATTTCTATTTTTGAGGATGTAAATTGAGATTTTTTATCTTTGAAGGTGTACATTAATACAAATTTTTATTTTTGAGGGTACAAATTGAGATTTTTGATCTTTAGGGGTACAAATTAAAATTTGAACAACCTTTCAGAGTGCAAAATGAGATTAACCCAAAAGAAAAAGAAGGAAGAGATGAGATGGGGGTAGGGGTGTCCATGGGCTGGGCTGGGTTAGGCCTGCGAATTTTTGTCGGGCCGGACTTAGGTAGTGTAGGCCTAAGTCCTTATTCAAGTGAGGTATCGAACGGGTCGGATCGGGTAGAGGTAGGCTACCCGCAGCCCAACCCATGAGCCTATTTGGCAGGCCTGTGAACGGGCTTGCTGAGCGAGCCTGTTTGCGAGCTTTTATATATATATTTATTTAAAAATAATAAATATTTTTGTAACTTAATATTTGTGTAAATTATATTTTTGAATCAAACATAAAGTCAAAATAAATATAAATAAAATAATGAACTGCATCCAAAGAATAAATAAATCTCAACTAGGTTGACACCTACTAACTTATCTGTCATTTATATTATTTTACCATTTAAAAATTATATACTTAATACATGGAAAAGAAAATAATACATTATTTATAATATCTAAATTTTTAAAATTNTTTTATATAATATTTTTCATATTTTTCTTTATATAAATATGTACATTCTATTACACATTCAAATGGTAAGCTTGATTTTGAACTTTAGAGTAAATTAAATCCACAAAATAAAGGGTAATATGAAATTATAATTTTTTATTAAGATAAAATCATATTTTTTAACGATTATATTAATAGATATTAACAAAAAGTGGTTATGTTTACACATGTACAAACGTCATGAGATGTAGGAGTAATATTTTATATAATATTTTTCATATTTTTCTTTATATAAATATGTACATTCTATTACACATTCAAATGGTAAGCTTGATTTTGAACTTTAGAGTATATTAAATCCACAAAATAAAGGGTAATATGAAATTATAATTTTTTATTAAGATAAAATCATATTTTTTAACGATTATATTAATAGATATCAACGAAAAGTGGTTATGTTTACACATGTACAAACGTCATGAGATGTAGGGGTAATATTCTAAATGTGAAGGGGTTCAAATGATTAAGTGACAAACATGAGGAGATCTAGGTATAATTTATCAATTTAATTTTAGGTGCACATTGATACAGATTTCTATCTTTAAGGGTGCAAATTGAGATTTTTGATCTTTGGAGGTGTACATTGATACAAATTTTTGATCTTTGAGGGTACAAATGGAGATTCGAACGATCTTTCGGAGTACAAAATGAGATTAACCCATATTTTTATAACTATCATGCTACCAAAAAAGTGAAAAAAAATATTGATAACAGTGGTAAAAATAATTATAAAAGTGATAATTTTTTTATTTTAAAAAAAATTATTATCACAATAATAGTAAAAACATCTATAACAGTAATAAATTTTTTATTATAAAATAACTCATAAAAATTATAATAATATTTATTAAAATAAAAAATTTTAAAAAATATGATACCAAATTTTTTTGTCTAAGTAAAGTCCTTGCTTTAACTCCATGGGGTCCCTAGGAAAATATAAAGCAGCCCAAGTCTTTCTTTAGTCTTTAGTCTTTGGTCTTCTCCATAATTAATAGTGTGCTTCCTTTATGTCCAAATCATAATGATGATGATGTTGTACTAATGACGTTAATTAGAGGACGGAGGTATTAAGTCATATTCCACATTCTTAATTTTCACGAATAATCCAGCTCTCCCATGTCTCAAATACCCTCATTTATTTTATTTTATTTTTTTAGCTGTTTAAAAAATTGGTGGGATAAAAGAGAGCGTCCAAAGTTCATTCCGATAGATTTTTACTGATAGAATTATGAGATCCCTAATCGCGCACGTTACTCCTCTCAAAAACGATTCTAATTAACATAACGGTAAATTACCGAATTTCAATATAAACTATCAAAATAGGGAATAAAAGGTAAAATCACTTGTGTTGTGTTGAATTTTCCTAATTTCTTCAAATTTTAATTTGATTTGTATGTGTGATTTGTAAAAATTATATTCTTATAATTCAGTATGCTTTATGTCCCAATTTTACTTAACTTATGTTGCTCTGTCTCCCTCTCAACACACACACACACCCTTAAGTAGCGATGACAATCTTGTCGTCCCATTTTATTTTAGGTTCGTGTCGAACATTAACTAATCATAACTCAATCTATTTAAATAATCGTGTAGAGTCGAATTTATCTATTTATTTTTATGTCATGTTCGTGTTGACTCATATAATTCGTGAATAAAAAATTTAACGTTCAGATTTAAATCTAAAATTTAATTGTCACTTAATCGAACTTAAGCTCATATTTTTTTCTATAAACTAGAAATTAACTTTATAAATATAATAATAAAAAATGAGTAAAAATATCTTTTTTTGTATAATAATTATGGCACTACTTGATAAAATATAATAAAAAATAGCATTTTATTTTTATAATACTATTTAAATGTGTTAATCGTGTTATTCGTGTTTGTCACTAACTCGATCCATTTATTTTTAGTGTTAACAGGTCGTGTCGAGAAATGGTTAATCATAATCTACTAATTTTGTATCGATTTCGAGCTATGTTGTCGTATCGTATTAGAAATTGTCACCCTACACACAATAGTAAGTTGAATTGATGACTAATCACTTTCACTTTCTTTTCTCTTCAAAATTTATGGGGAAATTTTATTTTTGCATGTAAAACTTATTGATTTTATCCTCCTACTACATGTCAGATTCAAATCATCTTCGCTATGCTTTCACTCTACCACAAATCAACTACCCTAGATTCAAGAAGGACACACAATGTTTAAGTTGGCCTCTCAATCATATAACTATCGAATAAAATTGAGTGAAAATATAATAGAGAATATCAATTTCATCATTTTCAAACACTCATCCACCTTGCATATTCTTATCCTTAAACTAGAATTCTATATAATCAAACAGTCTTTGAACGATATTCTAACAACCAAGTGCAATCTTTAACATAAGAAGAATTTTTGTTCAAAATGCCTATGAAGACTCTTAGAAAGCTTGGCCTTCTCATAATTCAAGAGCACGTAAAGTACTTCTTTGACGTAGCGGTAAACGAAAGGATACAAAGAATCACCATTTTCAAGTGTTAAGAACAAACATTTTGAATTCATAGACAAAATAGAAGAATAACTCTTGAAAAATGTTGTTAATTTGAAACTTGGATCTTTCAAATAGTTGCACAATAGCCTTTATATAGGCTCAAGAAAGACTTATACAATATTGGACTTATTACAATATTGGATCAAGATTAAGATGGATCTAGACCTGCAACTTGTTCTATATCATTCTATACTTTCTCTATTAATGCAACAGCTGATTGTTTTGCTAGGTTCACTATCAGTTGTAATGAACCAATTGTATGGAGGAAGGAGGTGCCTATGAGTTTTGTTGTCTTCCCTTCTAGCTGATATGTCTTCTACTAATTAATAGAAATCTCTATTGTTTCATATCAAAAAAGAAAGGGAAAAAAAATAAAGTGTCTTTGGACATTTTCTTTTTTCTTCCAAAAAAATTAAAGCAAAACTTAGATGTTTGCACTACATAGTTTAGAGGATTATAAAAAAATTTTAACTTAGATG